AGTACAACCCACGTTGTGTCAAACAGGGTTTTGGGTTTAGCGTTTAGGGTTTAGGATCTCTGAACCAGAGAACTTGCACACAAACTAGGCTATCCTCTCCTTTTAACCTTAGTAAACATTTGGTTTTCAATATTCCCTTGGGTTTTATTCTCAACTCACAAAATACCTAAGGGGGCAAGAGTAAGAGCCCTGAGAGCCTTGGGGCACTCATACCCTAGCCCTAACCCTAAACCCTAAACCCTAAACCCTAAACCCTAAACTCATACCCGTGGTGCTAGCGAATCCGAAATGTGGCTTCGCACTGTGCATCGATGCGCCCCACGGAGGCCATAGAGAGGCGATCCCTGGACGTAACGTAACATCTGCAACACTTGGTAGGGTTTAGGGCGTAGGGTTTAGGGTTTAGGGTTTAGGCTTTAGGGTCAGTAACCTTACAATAAGAGTACCCATTTTTGGTTGGGTACTGGAACAGGAGACGCAGAACAAAAAACAGGGCAAAGGGTACCACTGAGCTACCAAGAACAACGGATGCACCGGAAGTGATTTTAGAAATGTGGCCAAGTGGGCGTCAGCAATTCTGCCGGGCAAGCCTTCCAGGCTCCGTGTTTTTCCCATATGCAGGCGCGAGCGTTCCCGGGGTAAATCTCTGTAAACAGTCTTGCCTGAGTCATCTTCACTTGCTTCATTCTAGTTCGCTCAGTCAGCCGTCTGGCAACAAAACACACAAGTTGGCTCCTCCTTCTTCTGGCTGGTTCTTGGTAGGGAATGAGAGAATGAGGTACTTCACATAATCCGTGAAAGGGTATAATATAGGGCCCTAAACCCTGAACCCTGAACTCTAAACCTTAACTCCCTCATTCCCTTCTGAGAACCAGGGGGTCTTCTTCCTGTCATGGTTGAGGCCGCCAAGCAACATGGCATCCCGGCAGGGTTTAGGGTTTAGGGTTTAGCGTTTAGGGTTTAGGGTCGTTGGCTACATCCATGGGGACCGAATGAACCCTAGAATTGGGACCAGATACCCCAATTCTACTACTACAATCCCTATTAGCGTAACACGAACCCTAATACTAAACCCTAAACCCTAAACCCTCAACCCCGAACACCTAAACCCTCAACCCTCAACCCTCAACCAGGCCTAAACCCTAAACCCTAAACCCTAAACCCTAAACCCTAAACCCAAAACCCAAAACCCAAAACCCAAAACCCTAAACCCTAAACCCTGGATGCGGTTCGCTGCTCTAAGGCTCTGCCAACTGCCCGCTTCACTGCCAGGCACCAGGACGTCAGTTGAACCCCTGCAGCTTCGAAGTCCAGGAGGGCTTGCCTATACAAGGTTTTAGGGTTTAGGGTTTATAGGGTTTAGGGTTGACGTTTTGCTAAACAGAACTTGGAACCCTAGCAAAAACTATAATTATTGCCGCCTCCTAGGAGTTCAAGTACCTCAAGATTGAAGAGCATTCCCAAGTCTCCCTAAGTTGCTGGCAGGCCAGCAGCCGATCTCGACGCACATTCTTCAAGTCCAGCACCTTGCCCGGCGAAATTCGAAGTACAGCGCTCAAGTAGACGCGAGCGAAAAATGGGTCAGGACTTATTCCGAGGTCGACCATCCTGCCGTACGCAGAAGTACAGTACTCGAGATCTGCTCTGCTGTAAGTTTGCATCAGGGAAGTGAAGAAGACCACATCTGGAGCAATACGCCGTTCTAGAACCTTGTCCAAGAAATACCTCGCCACCTTGTAGTTGAGACCATCAGCCGTCCGGCAGACACGCACAGCAGAACTGAAGTGAATCAAGTTTGGCTCCACCTGCTTTCGTTGCATTGTATCCAAAACAGCGGCCGCCCCCAACATGTCTCCTTCTTCGCCAGCCGCATCAAGTCGCGCGGCTGCCAGCATACCATCCAGACCCTTTCGCCGCAGTGCTTCCAGCCAGGTCTTCTGAACGCAGCTCCTAGGATGGCCCTAACTAAAGCCTCTGACAAAAAATGTGCTCCTGAATATGAAGGGTTCTTGGGGGGGGTTTGGGGTTATGATGCCCGATAGCCTTATAAGACAGGGATCTTGCAAAACCAGCAACAAGTTAAAAAATCGAAAAAAGATCGAAAAAGAATCGCGAAAAAATCAAATCAAAAATCGAACCTACACAGCCTGATGTGCCCCGAATCCAACAAAATACATAATAGCATTTTTCTTTGATTTCTCAGTCCGATCGTTTTTATTTCGATTTTCTGAAAATCGAATTCGCAGATTTTTCCCGATTTCTTGGCCCGATCGATTTTATTTCGATTTTCTGAAAATCGAATTCACCGATGTTTTTCGATTTCTTGGCCCGACCGATTTTATTTCGATTTCTGAAAATCGAATTCGCAGATTTTTTCGATTTCCTGGCCCGAACGATTTTATTTCATTTTCTGAAAATCGAATTTCTGATCATTCGATTTTGCGGCGATTTTTTCCGAATGATTTTCGATTTTTGTCGATCTTGGGATTGCTGGTATACGGGGAAATTCTTATACCGGAAAGTTTTTGCAATCTCAAAATCGATCAAAAAATCAATCAAGACATCGACCAAAAATCGACCACAATCACGCCAGAATGCTTTGATCGTCCTGGCGCAAAATGCATCCCCAGGTCGGAAGCTCCGAATTAACTTCTAGTTTGTTTTGATTTCTCCGAAAACAAAGCAAGTTCGTTTTGATTTCTCTGAAATCAAAGCAAATTTGTTTTGATTTCCCCAGAATCTGAAAAAAAACCTTCTGATGTCTCCAAAACCCAAGGCTAGGCCGATTGTTCGGCGATTTTTCGGCGATTTTGGCGGCGATGTTGTGGCGAACTTGAGGGGTCCCTGTCTTATAAGCTATCGGGAACATAAGTTTAGGGTTTAGGGTTTAGGGTTTAGGGTTTAGGGTTTAGGGTACAGCACCCCCGCCCCAAAAAGAAAAAGTAATCAAGCAACTCTATAGTATTGCTCCTGGGTACCGAGTTCCAGAATAGAACCACAAGTCCATCCGCGACCCTCAACACGTTAGGGCCACTAGGGTTTAGGGTTTAGGGTTTAGGGTTTAGGGTTGAGGGTTTAGGGTTTAGGGTTTAGGGATGATCCTCTTGAACCCGATAAGATACGAAATGTCTCAAGAGCCTACCTAGCTTCGGATTGCGGGTTTGCGCGAAGAGCTTTATGGCCAGGGTGTAGATTGGCAAGGTCTTCTCCACACGCAGCTGGCTCATCGTCTTGTATATCTCAACTCCGGCTTGATACCTGGCACACAGGAAAGCCGTATGCAGAACTTTGCTGAAGACTGGAGTGGCCGTTCCGTTGTAGCCGTTGAAGGCTGCCTCCACCGCATCCCAATCACCCTTCAAGGAGAGTTCGGACAACTTTGCTAAGAGCTCCTTATCCGCTTCACCGAGCCGCGCTGCAACCCGACACCTTGCCCGGGACCTTTCTCGCATCAGGCTCGGGGCACCTAGGGCCGACCTGGTGCTCCCAAGGCTGTTCAGGGTTGCCCTGGCCCTCAACGAGGTAAAGCTGCCTGTGTCGTCAGCTAAGGGAAGACTGCGCAGCAGCGCAAGCAATATCAGGTGGACTGCGCAGGTCCTGCCCACAAATGGCCACCGGGAGATCCGCAGGGTGTTGGGCCTACGCATGGCGCAGGAGCCCCTTTGAGCAGGCAGGGTCACCTCGACATGGCTGGCAAACCCAAGGATCCCCTAAACCCTAAACCCTAAACCCCAAGCCCCAAGGCGAGATCAAGAGCCGGCCTGTGAAGGCTCCCCAAAAACCCCTAAACCCAAACCCGTCTCAACACTTTGGCAATACCTGGGACTCTCTTTACCTACAGTTTAATGGGTTACTAAATAAGGGGTAGTTGCCACGAAACTGCAAGTACATGGAGTCCCAGGTAAGTCTGAGGCTCTAGAACTCTGATGACTTGTGAAACGACTCGAACGAAGATTCGCTGTAAGCTTCCTCGATTTGGCGACCTTACATCCCTATGTCCCTAAACCCTAAGCCCTAAACCTGTAAGAGATAATCTAGGACATAGGCCCCTTTTCACAACTCCACAAACCAAGAACCCGCACGTATGGCTTGCTGGGGTATTCGAAGCCTTTCTCAGCTGCCTCGTCGCTCCTTCCTCTTCTGCGGGCGCGTGGCTATGGCGAGAGAGTTACACCGAGGAGTCAGAGGTTTAGGGTTTAGGGCTGCAGGCCCTGTAGGCATCCCTACACCCCTGCGAAGCCCTAAGCCTCAAACCGTGATTGCGGGCGCATTTGCTTAAAAACCCAAAAGGCCCTAAACCCCAAAACCTTTCGAAGCCCTAAACCCCAAACCCTAAACCCCAAAGGACTCCGGCCCAGAAACGCTGGGTTTTGCTTGAGACTGGCTTCCCTGATGGCCTTCCCGCCCAATGGTTGTGAGGGTCCAGGGCATAGGCTTCGAAGGGCTTATATGGGCTTAGGGTTTAGGGTTTAGCGTTTAGGGTTGAGCTTAGGGTTTAGGGTTTTTCAGGCTTTAGGGTTTAGGGCTTTTTGATTTTGAGGCTATAATATTTCCATGGTTGCCCAAGCTCCCCCCTCCGCGGGAATACTTGGATTGGGGTCCAAGTTAGCCCTTGCCCGCCATGAGAAGCCTAGTGGTAATGTCTAGCTCGCCAGGGAAAATAGAGGGCAACTTAATTCCCGAGGGGGAGACAGAAGAAAAAATGACTCCCAAGGGGGATATACAAGAACCATGTTCTGCAGGACTTTCTTTACACACTCGCCTCCATGATGTCGGTCGAGCAGGCTAAAGCCTGCGTCCAAAGGTCTCCGGCAACACCCTAAACCCTCAACCCTAAACCCCAAACTCCAAACCCTAAACCCTAAACCGCAGCTAAACCGGCTCCGGCGAGATAGCTTGATGTCCACGAAGCGACGACTCAGAGAGCTCTCAACCCTCAACCCTAAAACCCTAAAACCGTGAACCCTAAACCCTAAACCGTAAACCCTAAACCCTAAACCCTACTCTTCGAGGATTGCACCAAGCGCGGACTTCACCACACGGCAGAAGCTCGACAACTCCACCTCGGCTTCTCCCAAGTCTTCCAGGGCTTCTCGGCAGGCCAGTAGGCGATCCTGACTCACCTGGTTTAGGGTTTAGGGTTTAGGGTTTAGGGTTTAGGGTTTAGGGTTTAGGGTGTAGGGCTTAGGGTTTAGGGTTTAGGGCTTAGGGTTGTGTCAAGCCAAGGGTCTCACAGGGTTTATACTTCTGTTGTTGGTGAGTGTACATAGGGGTTCCTGTTCAATATTGGCGAATGTAAATATGAGGTTTCCTTTTGGGGATGCAAGGAATATAAAGCCTACTTCATGTGTATATATAAATATTAATAGATATATACATATATACATATATATGTATCCATGTATATATATATATATATATATATGAGCCCGCCGCCTTTAGGGTCTATTTAGCTTTGGGTTTTTCTTATTGCTTTAACAGAGCGAATATAAATATCGTAATACAAAAACACATATTTACACCTACATATGGCACACAAATCTCATGCCCAGCGATTCTAGGCCTAGCCGCACGCCATTACGAACTGCGAATTTCTGATTATTCTTATTTCATTTGCTTCTCTTTGCTATCTGTGTATGCGTGTTCTTTTTTCAGCCTGCGTGAAAAAGTCGCTGTTTGGCTGCGGCTTCAGAAAGACTCTGGCATTCGTACGTGCTGTGAAATTACCCTGCACGTTTAAGTTAAGCACATCTGTAAGCCCCCTACGTCCCATCTGCAGCCTGCCCCCTTCCCCCCCTACTCCAAGCCCCTACCCCATCACCCTCAACACGACCCCTTCCCACAATTTACTACACCCACACCACTCGCACCTAACCCCTCCTACCCCTCCTCTCACACCCCTTCACTCCAAACTACCAACCTGAAGTTATCATAACTATAATAACTTCAACTTCCCCATCATAAGTTATCATAATTATGATAACTTTAACTTCCCGATCAAAATTATCATAACTATGAAAAACTTTAAGTTCTTAATCTCAGGGTACGATGATTATGATAAGCAACTTTTCATAATTATCATAAGTTATCATAATTATGATAAGTTATCATAAGTCATCATAATTACGATAAGGTATCATAATTATGATAAATTGTGATAGTTATCACAAGTTATCCTCCTCGCCCTTTCCAGTTAAAAGTGCTTACGGCTGAAAGACCTTAGTACATAAAACTGTACTAAAGCGCAAAGAGAACAATGCTTACGATACAGAGACTTTGGTACACTATGATGCGTCAGGACACAATGAAATTATGCTTGCGATCTATACATTGCGCCCTTTGAGATAGTTGAGAAAGAAAAAAGTGGCCGCGTGCCAATATTAATTGCTTGTAACGGGGCCGCGGCCTACATACGACATACCCCGCTACAGGGGGTATGTATTCATGGTCGGGGTTTTGCGACAGACCTGTTTGTTGTTGTCTGCAGGTTCCAAGTCTTGCTTATCGGGGGGTAAGTGTTCGTAAGTTTCAAGGAGCAAATATAAGTATCCCTGAATTTGAAACCCCCTTAAACTCTTACAGGCTGAGAACGCGGAGTGGTTCCAAGTCTTGCTTATCGGGGGGTAAGTGTTCGTAAATTTCACCAAAAACATGACAATTTTCCCGCGGAATATGTGTCAGTGGAGCCGTGCTAACACAAAAAAGCATGACACATTTTTCGCGGAATATGTCTCACCAGAGTTCTGTTAGCACCAGAAACATGACACTTTTTTTCCGCAGAAAACGTGTCATTAAAGCTGTGCTAACACAAAAAACATGACACATTTTCCGCGGAATATGTGTCAGTAGAGCCGTGCTAACACAAAAAAGCATGACACATTTTCCGCGGAATATCTGTCACCAGAGTTCTGCTAGCACCAAAAAATTTCTTTCGCAGAATATGTGTCAGTAGAGCTCTGCTAACACAAAAAACATGACACATTTTTCGTGGAATATGGGTCAGTAGAGCCGTGCTAACACAAAAAAGCATGACACATTTTTCGCGGAATATGTCTCACCAGAGTTCTGTTAGCACCAGAAACATGAATTTTTTCGCAGGAAATGCGTCATTAGAGCTGTGCTAATCCAAAAAACATGACACATTTTCCGCGGAATATGTGTCAGTAGAGCCGTGCTAACACAAAAAAACATGACACATGTTCCGCAGAGTATGTGTCACCAGAGTTCTGCTAGCACCAAAAACATGACAGTTTTTCCGCAGAATATGTGTCAGTAGAGCTGTGCTAACACAAAAAACATGACACGTTTTCCGCGGAATATGTGTCAGTAGAGCCGTGCTAACACAAAAAAGCATGACACATTATTCGCGGAATATGTGTCACCAGAGTTCTCTTAGCACCAGAAACATGACATTTTTTCCGCAGAATATGTGTCAGTAGAGCTGTGCTAACACAGAACTCTGGTGAGACATATTCCGCGAAAAATGTGTCATGCTTTTTTGTGTTAGAACGGCTCTACTGACACATATTCCGCGGAAAACGTGTCATGTTTTTTGTGTTAGCAGAGCTCTACTGACACATATTCTGCGGACAAAAATGTCATGGTTTTGGTGCTAACAGAATTCTGGCGACACATATTCAACATATTCCGCGAAAAATGTGTCACCAGCATTTTAAACATCCGGAAACTCCACCCCTCCACCCCCCTCCACCCCCCTCCACCCCCCCTCCACCCTCCCCCCACCCCCCCACCCCCCCACGCATGCGCGGGACACCACAACGAAGAGGGTGTTAACACCACCAAGAAGCAGGATGTCACAACTCCTGGTGGTTTGAAGGCAATCCACAAACCGTGATATCGCAACCGCTTATCAAGGTTACAAATTACCAAAATTCCAAACCAGAGTTGGGGCCCTAACAGAACACCAAACAATCTTGAACACACATTCAGTTGCGATATCTCTCATCTAACTCTAAACCCTTAACCCTAAAACCCCAAGCGACCAGCGGCATGGCTGCATATTTTGCAGAGAGCGCTTGATGCCACAAGAGGGCGCTAGCCACAAGATGGGTACCGGCCCTTGTTTTCACCTAGACCTACTTCGGGTTCAGGGTTTAGGGTTTAGGGTTTAGGGGTTATATAGGGTTGAGGGTTTAGGGTTTCATAGTTAAACGGTGCATATATATATATATATACATATGGTCACCCCCCCATGATCCACGCGTGTCCTTTTCTTGCTTGCCGTTCTGCACCTGTGCTACTTACACCTGTAGTTGACATGAAAGCACACCGGTATTTACGATCCTTTCTTGTCTTGCCATGTCTGACGCTACAACTTGTCATCCATTACGTCTAGTTTCAAACAACAGAAGCCGCTTGTGGATTTGGTTTTGTGCGGTTTGCACATCTCTGTCATCCACTCTATAATCTAGACCCGGGAGTAACCTAGGAATACAAAGGGTGCCCTTTTTTTGGTTTCAAGAGGATTATATGGAAACCCCAACCAAAAAAAAGGAAAACGGGGCATACTCCCGTTCCTAGCAATAGCTATCAATATCCACCTTCTTGAACTTCAACATTATTCATTAATTAGAGAAAACGGTTATAAACCTTTTTATAACTTATAATGCATAAACATAAAAAAGAAGTGAAGGGGTTTATATAAAGCAGCTAACACAAGAAGCAGACTACATATTGAAGTTAGAGACGAACTAGCGGGGACAGAGACATGCTCAAGGGACACGCAAGGACTATAAATAGCGTATGAGAATCCTGACGGGGCTCATCAAAATGGTTCTATTTTATACGTTGCTGGGACTAAAAGCGGTAGACGTGATTATAGTCAGCGTTACAAAGATGTAGATAAGTTCATTCAAGACGGTTATATTGAAATAGATGGTTAAAAACTACTGGAATTACTGATATTATAAGTCATAGTTTCGGTTCAGCATCGGGACAACAATCAAACAACGATTATCGTAATGTATTGCAGAAGTCGTAGTTATCGTTCTCCTTTTGTATCAGGACAACGACCAGAAGACACCTGGACAAAATTTAAGAATACGAAAAGCAGGAGACCCCGTTAGTATGTTTGATAAAGGAAGTATAACATCAAACGAATCAACATTAGACCATCTACAAAATCATTCTTATGAAGATGTAGGCAATGCTAAAGACAAAGCAGGAAATCTACCTATAGCCGAAGAAGAGATTTTTACAACAGTTTAATTCAAAGATCTGATATTCATAATGCTTCATAAGAAAGCAACAACATACGAACAAATAGAGAAACCGAAGAAGAGAAGAAAGTCAAACAACATGCTTACGAAGAGATAAGAAAGCTCGTTGAGAATAAATGAAGTAGAAGAAGCAGCTAAGGAGGTGAAAGGTAAGAAGAAGAACAATAGTCAAGACATTTCATACAGCTTCAAATTATTTGATTAAATATAAGTTTAAAGTATGTGTAACTAAAACATCTCTGCTATGTACATACACGGGGAACTTTTAGTCCCGAAGATATCCTCAATGATAATTTATGTTTTCAATTACACAATGGTAGTTCCCATATTAAATGTCAAGGGTTTTAGAATAAAACGATTGTTGGATTTAAGCCATTGCGTGGCCTCTTCTCACAATTTCAATACTTGTTGTTCAAATATGTGGGAAACTTAACAATTGAGTTAGAACTCGTAACTTCTGCATCAAAACTGACACGGTTGCGATATCCACCAACACGCAAGACTAGTTGCGCTATCCGCGTTCTCAAGCCTCCTCAGTTGTAATAACCACTTTCTTGGTTTTGTTATCCTCCAACTGGTTGTGATCCTTTAATCTCACCCGGAGGGGCTCCCCTCCACCTGTGCGGGTGGAACGGGGGGTGGAGGGGTGGAGGGGTGGGTAGGGGGGGAGGGGTGGGTAGGGGTGGAGGTGGAGAGGAGGGGTGGAGGGGTGGTGTGGAGGTGGGGAGGTGGAGGGGTGGCAAATACGAAAACATGCGGATTTAAACTGGTCTTTTATACTACCTCTCTTGCCGTGGCAGGTTGGCCGCCCTCCACTTATTTAAAAAACGTCACCGTAACAGAACTCTGGTGACACATATTCCGAGGAAAATGTGTCATGCTTGTTTGTGTTAGCACGGCTCTACTGACACATATTCCGCGGAAAACGTGTCATGTTTTTTGTGTTAGCGCAGCTCTACTGACACATATTCTGCGGAAAAGCTATCATGTTTTTGGTGCTAGCAGAACTTTGGTGACACATATTCTGCGGAAAATGTGTCATGTTTTTTTGTGTTAGCACGGCTCTACCGACACATATTCCGCGGAAAATGTGTCATGTTTTTTGTGTTAGCGCAGCTCTACTGACACATATTCTGCGGAAACAAAGTGTCATGTTTCTGGCGCTAACAGAACTCTGGTGACACATATTCCGCGAAAAATGTGTCATGCTTTTTTGTGTTAGCACGGCTCTGCTGACACATATTCCGCGAAAAATGTGTCATGTTTTTTGTGTTAGCAGAGCTCTACTGACACATATTCTGCGAAAAAAATGTTGTGTTTTGGTGCTAACAGAATTCTGGTGACACATATTCCGCGGAAAATGTGTCATGCTTTTTTGTGTTAGCACGGCTCTACTGACTCATATTCCGCGGAAAATGTGTCATGCTTTTTGTGTTCGCACAGCTCTACTGACACATATTCGGAGAAAAAATGTCAGTGTCCCCTGTGTCTTTTCTGCTCCGAATATTCTGAATCGCAAGCAGTGTCCCCCGTGTCTTTTCTGCTCATAAGTGTATGTATGCTATATGGGATTGCGCCTTAAACCCTAGCTCCTTAAACCCTAACTCTATAGGGTTTAAAGGTTAGGGTTTAGGTTGAATTGCCGGCTTAGGTTAAAATGCTTCAATCTTAAACCCTAAACCTGTCAACCTTAACCCTATAGGGTTGGGGTGCCTACATCATGATCGGATTTGACGAGCTCTGCGGAAATATCTATATGACAAGGTTATAACTTATTGCTGTGCTTATAACTATGGGTTGGGGTTTGATTTTTATACACTTATGTAAACCCATAAGAATAAGGGGAAGCCCATCACACCCCAATAAGCGAAACAAAACATCTGTCCCAAAGACTTTACCTTAGCTAAGATATCTCAAGCAACCATCCCCCGATAAGCAAAGCCTGAATTCCATCATTTAACGATATAGTTTGCTTACATGTTGAATCCCAGCAAGTAGGATATATGTGTATGACAAGGTTATAACTTTTTGCTGCGGTTATAACTAGCGTTCAGGGTTTGATTTATATGCATGTAAATAAACCTATAAGACAATGACGGTAACCCCATCACGCCCCAATAAGCAAAACAAAACCCATCCGGAAAACTCTACCTTACCTAAGATATCTCAAACAACCATCCCCCGATAAGCAAAACTTGAATTACCCTTTTGTTTCTATTTTGAAGGACATTTGCTCAACATTTATGTAACCTATAAAAAAATAAGGGGAACCGCAATAGGCGGACGCCCTATATGATACCTTATCATAATTATGATAACTTATGATAACTTATCATAATTATGATAGCTTATCATAATTATGAAAAGTTACTTATCATAATTATCATACTCTGAGATTAAGAACTTAAAGTTATCATAATTATGATAATTCAAATCGGGAAGTTGAAGTTATCATAATTATGATAACTTATGATGGGGAAGTTAAAGTTATCATAATTATGATAACTCATGATGGGGCAGCTGAGGTTATCATAGTTATGATAACTTCAGGTTTCTAGCTTGGAGTGAAAGGGTGTGAGAGGAGGGGTAGGATGGATTAGGTGCGAGTAGTATTGTGAATGTTGTTTTTTTGTGGGAAGGGGGCGCGTGGGTTGGTGTAGGGGGGGAAGGGGAAAGGGGTCTCCCTCGTCTCCTCCCTCCCTCCTCCCTCCTCCCCCTCCAGCCCTCCAGCCCTCCAGCCCCTCCAGCCCCCCCAGGCCTCCAGCCCCAGCCCCTAACCAGCCCCTCCAGCCCCTCCAGCCCCTCCAGCAGCCTTTCCAGCCCTCCAGCCCCTCCAGCCGCTTTTGGGGGGGTGGGGGCGGGGTGTGGGGGTGGGTGGGGGTAGGGAGGGGGTGGGGGGGGTCGGGCTGCCGCGTTGCCTGACCCAAAGCCCGCACCTTGATCTGGCCCAGACCCAGGTTTTCAAGCCCAGAATGGGGGTCTGGGCCGGGCCAAAAGGGGGGGGCATGGGGGGGTGTAGAGGGGGGGGGAGGGGGGGTTGGGAGGAGTTGGGAGGGAGGGTGTGGGGGGGGTGGCGGTAGGGGGTGGGGGGGTGGAGTCTCGCCACAATTAAATCGATTTAAGCGATTTAAACGATTTAATTGGGTCCAATTAAATCGTTTAAATCGGACGCCTGAATTAAATAGTTTAATTGGTCTGGGCGATTTAAACGATTTAATTGGTTGGTTTATGGCTTGACTGGGTTTCCCCCCCAATTAAATCGATTTAAACGATTTAAACGATTTAATCGATTTAAACGATTTACTTGGGTCCAATTAAATCGTTTAAATCGGACGCCAGAATTAAATAGTTTAATTGGCCTGGGCGATTTAAACGATTTAATTGGTTGGTTTATGGCTTGACTGGGTTTCCCCTCCAATTAAATCGATTTAAACGATTTAAACGATTTAATCGATTTAAACGATTTAATTGGGTCCAATTACATCGTTTAAATCGCCCAGGCCAATTAAATAGTTTAATTGGCCTGGGCGATTTAAACGATTTAATTGGGTCCAATTAAATCGTTTAAATCGGACGCCTGAATTAAATAGTTTCATTGGCCTGGGCGATTTAAACGATTTAATTGGTTGGTTTATGGCTTGACTGGGTTTCCCCCCCAATTAAATCGATTTAAACGATTTAAACGATTTAATCGGTTTAGACGATTTAATTGGGTCCAATTAAATCGTTTAAATCGGACGCCTGAATTAAATAGTTTAATTGGCCTGGGCGATTAAGACGATTTAATTGGGCCCAATTAAATCGTTTAAATCGGACGCCTGAATTAAATAGTTTAATTGGCCTGGGCGATTTAAACGATTTAATTGGACTCAATTAAATCGTTTAAATCGATTAAATCGTTTAAATCGTTTAAATCGATTTAATTGGGGGGAGACCCAGTCAAGCCATAAACCATCCAATTAAATCGTTTAAATCGCCCAGGCCAATTAAATAGTTTAATTGGCCTGGGCGATTTAAACGATTTAATTGGGTCCAATTAAATCGTTTAAATCGGACGCGTGAATTAAATAGTTTAATTGGCCTGGGCGATTTAAACGATTTAATTGGACTCAATTAAATCGTTTAAATCGATTAAATCGATTAAATCGTTTAAATCGATTTAATTGGGGGGAGACCCAGTCAAGCCATAAACCAACCAATTAAATCGTTTAAATCGGACGCCTGAATTAAATAGTTTAATTGGCCTGGGCGATTTAAACGATTTAATTGGGTCCAATTAAATCGTTTAAATCGGACGCCTGAATTAAATAGTTTAATTGGCCTGGGCGATTTAAACGATTTAGTTGGTTGGTTTATGGCTTGACTGGGTTTCCCCCCCAATTAAATCGATTTAAACGATTTAATCGATTTAATCGATTTAATTGGACCCAATTAAATCGTTTAAATCGGACGCCTGAATTAAATAGTTTAATTGGCCTGGGCGATTTAAAGGATTTAATTGGACTCAATTAAATCGTTTAAATCGATTAAATCGTTTAAATTGTTTAAATCGATTTAATTGGGGGGAGACCCAGTCAAGCCATAAACCAACCAATTAAATCGCTTAAATCGCCCAGGCCAATTAAATAGTTTATTTGGCCTGGGCGATTTAAACGATTTAATTGGGTCCAATTAAATCGTTTAAATCGGACGCCTGAATTAAACAATTTAATTGACCTGGGCGATTTAAACGATTTATTTGAGTCCAATTAAATCGTTTAAATCGCCCAGGCCGATTAAATTATTTAATTGGCCTGGGCGATTTACACGATTTAATTGGACCCAATTAAATCGCTTAAATCGGACGCCTGAATTAAATAAGTTAATTGGCCTGGGCGATTTAAACGATTTAATTGGACTCAATTAAATCGTTTAAATCGTTTGAATCGTTTAAATCGTTTAAACACTTATTAAAAAAGGAATGAGCTAAATAGACCCGAAAGGCTGCTCTTTCATATATATATATGTATGTATATTGAGTAGGTTCCTCATCGTTTACCTTTTGGAGTCCCTAAACCCTAAACCCTACAACCCCAGATTGGAAGAACTGTCACCTGCTTCAAGTACACATCCATCCGATCTTTCACCATGCCCGGTGAGAGTTGTAGCAACGTGGTCAAATAGGCCTCTGCAACACTTCGGTCAGGCTGTATGCCGAAGTCTTTCATCTTCTTGTAGGCAGAGGTGACGTATTCGAGATCAGCTCGGCGGTACGATTTGATCAGGGTGGAGAAGAGAAGCGCATCTGGAGCAATACGCCCTTCTCCAAGCTTGTCCATGAAATAACTCGCCACCTTGTAGTTAGAATCATCATCGGCGTTGCTGCAGGCACGCACGGCAGGGGCGAAATGCCGCAAATCTGGCTGCAGGGCCGCTCTCACCATTCTATCCAATACGGCTGCTGCAGTCACCATGTCCCCATCTTCTGCAGCTGCATACAGGCGTGAGCTTGCAAGCAAGTGGCCCACACCCTTCGTGTCCAGTGCCTCCGCCCAGGTCTTCTCAACAAGTGCAGAATTTCCTGTCTTTGCGAAGAGGCGTATGGCATGGGCATAGATGTATATAGTTTTTGGTACACCGAGTTCGTGAAACTTCTGGTACACCTCGATGCCGCGTTCATACTGGCCGCACCGAAAGGCGGCGCTAATAACTTTGCTGAAAACGGCACGTGCAGTTCCGCTGTAGCCACTGAAGGCGGCCTCCACGGCACTCCAGTTACTCGCCTGGGCGTATTCAGCCAGCTGGTTGCACAGAATCCCCTCTGCTGGACTTAGCGGCGCCACCCTCTCCTCTGGCTGCGCCCGCTGCCCGGCGCCGGCCGCTCGCAACCGACTCTTGGGCTCGATGTTCCCATGGCGACCTGCCTTGCCCCCCGAGGGGGCAAAGCTGGGGGCGCCGGCCTTCAAGCAGCTCAGCAGGAACAGCCCAAGAGGGAAAGCGCCGGTCGTCCACACGGAGGGCCGCTGAGGGATGTGCGAGGCTCTTGGCATACCCCCCTAGTTGCTGAGAACCCTGGGCAAAAAAACAATGGTTAACCTTTCAGCTATGGTAGGGTTATGTATACCCCAAAAAATGTTAAGATGGTTACCTGCTAAGCCACTAAGACCCAAAAAGGTCCAGGCTTACGCTTGTAGGGGAATGTTCTTGGGCTAACTACTTTAAGTGTCCCCTCTGGGTTCTTAAGTGGCTGCTTTAGGGCTACCTGATTTTGGGGCTTAGCTTGTTTTATGGCTACATGGGTACAGGGCTTGGGCTACAGGGCTTTTGAGTTTAGGGTTTCGTTTTTGAGGGTTTGAGGGTTGAGGGTTTGCGGGGCTACCCTGTGGGATGCAAACAGCTCAGCACGACAGCCTGAAACCCAGCTCAAAGCCCGCATGAACTTCTTCATGGTTGGGTCCAAGCTATCCTTGCTACGGCAACCTTTTGGGGTTTAGGGTTTAGAATTTGGGCCTGCAAAATAGGTATCCCCAATTTGCTGAAATTATTTACACAGAGGAAGGTGAGGGGAAAGAGGGGAGATGGAGGGGTTTTAGGGTTTAGGGTTTAGGGGGTTGCGGGTTAGGATTTAGGGTTCAGGGTTGAGGGTTTAGGGCTTCTGGGGCCATGTGGGCTGAGTTTGAGTCCGAAGGCGTAGGAAAGCCGTCAGCTAAAATGAAGCATATATTCGTTCAGGGCTTCCTGCATGCCTCATTGTCGGACGCGACCCGAAACCCGAACCCTAAACCCAAAACCCTAAACCCTAAGCCGACCCATGATGCCCAGAGCCTGTCTTCTACATTAGGGTTTGGGGGGTTTGGGTTTCAGGGTTCGGGGTTGGGCTAGGCTGGGGTTTGAAGGTTCTCTTGCTCATAACGTCAGCTGCTGAGTTCATAAGCCCCAAAAAGTGTGCGCTTTCAGTTCTGCAAACCCTAAACCCTGAACCCTGAACCCTAAACCCTATAACCCTAAACCCTAAACCCTAAACCTGTAGGGGATTCTGGTACCCCCAAAAGGTGTGACGTCTACTCATTCAGCCTGTAGGTTCGGTGCGTCCGCGAATCAACGAGACCTCTAGGATTCTTGACCTCGTGCATTCAGGCCTTTTTGGGGTTCCGGGTTTCCGGTTCAGGGCTTACTGCACCCTATAAGCCTTAAACCCTAAAGCCTGAGTCCTAAACCGTAGAAACAGAGGGCTACTGCAAAAAGAGGGCCTCGTCCGAACCGGAGAGATCGGCATAGGCAGAGGAGTTCAGGCGCAGGCGGAGCCTAGTTGCACCCAAGCCCTAAACCCCAAAACCAAAACCCTAAACCCTAAACCCCACACCTAAACCCGGTTTAGGGTTTGGGGTTTGGGGTTTAGGGTATAGGGTTTGGGGTTTAGGGCTTAGGGTTTAGGGTTTAGGGTCAAATGCACCAAGCCTCACCCCGAATTTCTCGCAGCCGCAGTTCTTCCTTGGACCCTCAAGGTTTTTACCCTTGGGTTTTGGCGCTTAGGGTTTAGGGTTTAGGGTTTAGGGTTTAGGGTTTAGGGTTTAGGGTTTAGGGTTTGGGGTTGGTTTTTTTGGCGTCCTGCTTTGAGGATCCCGAAGGGCACATAAGGGCCATGTTAGGAGTATATAAAAGGGGAACCGGGGTGCAACCTTAGGGGTAAGAGTCTTCATCCCTTGACAGACCCTAAGACCTAAGCCCTAAACCCTAAACCCTAAACCCGAAACCACCCGAAGACAGCGAAGAGCTAAAACGCCTCAACCCCGAACTTCTTAACTTGTTTAAGGGAGTAAGGGTTTAGGGTTTAGGGTATACTTCTTAACTTGTTTAAGGGATCATCTTAGGAACCTTAGGCAGCCCCAAATAAAAACCGCTGAAAGCACTGTGGATTCCTTGTTAATGTCCCTCCTCTACTCCCCTAGGCCCTAAGCCAACTCCCACAACAACTAACCCCATAAACCCTATAGACCCCCAATCCCAAGTCCGAAATTCTGAGCCCTGAACCCCCGAACCCAGAACCTACGTTACTCCCAAACCCTACACCCTAACCCCCAAACCCCAAACCCAAAAACCCTAAACCCTAACCCTAAACCCTAAACCCTAACCCCCCCCGTATCCTAAGGTTTCTCCAAGCCACTCGTCACCAGGAGCCAAGCGTGCTTCGGTGTCTTCCTTCCCATGGCGACTCGAGTTGGGGCTCATGGTTCGGAGGTTAGGGTTTAGGGTTTAGGGTTTAGGGTTTGGGGTTTAGGGTTTGGGGTTTAGGGTTTGGGGTTGAGGGTTTAGGGTTTAGGGATCGGTTTGGGGTTCGGAGGGCTTGGGGTTGAGAGATTTTGCTTTCAGGCTTGGGCTTTCAGGATGATCAACCTGGGGATCTTTGCCCTGAGGCTCAAACACTAGACCCGGGAGGAACCTAGGAATACCAAGGGTGCCCTTTTTGGGTTTAAGGGGATTATAAGGGAACCCCAACCCTAAAAAAAGGCAAAAAGGGCCTACTCCCGGTCCTAGAATTACCCAAAAACCTTGAACAATAAGGGCCTTTGAGCCCAAAATCCCGTAAATAAGCGTCCTTGGTGCCTTAGGTTTGAGTTGTTCTCTGTTTGTTTTTTTCAGGTTTGGGGTTTTCAGGCACGACCTCGTCGGCATTCAGCGTCTTCGCGAGACTCTCCCACGCGCTCCCTGTAAGAGTCTTAGGTGAGGGTGAGCGTCGCACCCACGCGGCGGAGCTCCTGGGACTTGAGCCTGCGACCACGTGCACGTACCGCTGAGTCGGCACTGTACGTCAAGGGCGTCTTCACTGAAGAGAGGGACAGGCCGTATGAAGCTAGGCTGCGCTCGAAGGCTTCGACCACTGGCACGGCTTCGCCCGGTAGACCGAGCCTCTCGGCTTTGCTCAGGTTGTCGAGAATCGACCCCAAGGCACCGGCCCACGCTCTTTCGGGGCCGGCTGTCAACGTGTCGAATCTGGCCGCAAAGAGCCAGAACGGGGGATCAAGGTCTCCTTATGGCCTTCAGGCTTAGGATGTTGGGAGGTTTGTGTTTTCAGAGGGCTTAGGGTCTCCTGAGGGCCTTCGGGCATGGGAATTTTGTTTTGGGTAACTCTGCGGCTTGGGGGTTAGGTTAGGTTTTGAGAGGTTCTAGGGGTTTAGAGGTTTATGAATTGTCTCAGGTTTAGGGTTTCCGGGCTGAGAAGTTGATTTGGGTTTTTCGGGGTTGAGGCTTTGGCATCACGGCTAGGGGTCGGAGGATTATGGGGCATTGGGTGCGCGAGCAACCTCTTCAACGAGCCGTCATGACTCATCAACATTAACAGGGGAGGGGGGGGGCGGGCACCCCCCCCTCAACCCTAAACCCTAAACCCTAAACCCTAAACCCTAAACCCTAAACCTTAACATTAACGGGGTTCGTAAGGGAACCGCACCCCTAAACGAAGGAACACAGGGCGCCTACCCGGGTCCTCGCTAAGCCCTCTAGACCCTCAACCGCCAGAGCCTTGGTGAAGTGGAAGTATGCAATGCGCTTCTTGTTGAGACCTTGGGCAACAAAGACATGAACACATGGTGGTTTCCGAAATTAGGGCACCTTATTGGGGGTCCTGATTATAATATATAGGGGAATCCTACTATTTGGGGGTCTATTCTAGGGTCCCCGATTTTCGTAAACGCCCATATGAAAACAGCGCTACAGACCCCTTCACAACACAGCAACCAAAACTACAAGCATCAACTGCAGCTTAGATAACCCTAAGCCCTAAACCCTAAACCCTAAACCCTAAACCCTAAACCTGGAACCACGCGCAGGAGCACCCGATAACAGCATGCGATTCGGAAGCCCTACACCGTGGACCAGATCTTCTCAGCCCTGGACCCTAACCCCTGAACCCCCAGCCGTAAACCCTAAATCCTAAACCCTAAACCCCGAGCCCTAAACCCCAAACCCCAAACCCGAAACCTAAAACCCTAAGCCCTAAACCCAAAAACATGCCCTGTCTTGAGACCCAGGCCGACATCCCAGCGCACCACGACGTTCTCCTGAGATTGGCTCTCCTTCAGCTTCTTGTCGTAGTCTGCCTGCGGCTCATTGGCTTCCGGTGCTTCTGGTAGGTTCCTTTAGGGTTTAGGGCTTAGGGCTTAGGGTTCAGGGTTTAGGGTTTAGGGCGTAGGGTTTCGGGCTGGGGTTTATAGGGGCTTACAGGGAAGGGAGGTTTATAGAGGTTTCTAGGGTCTGGGGTTTTTTGGGCTTTCAAGGATTCACAGGGTGGTTTATAGGGTTTATGGGGCTTATATAGGGCTTTATCGGGGTGTCCAGGGGGCTTTAACCCTAAACCCTAAACCCTAAACCCTAAACCCTAAACCCTAAACCCTAAACCCTCTAGACGTTTGGTATAGGGCTTACAGTTTTGGGCTTGCAATTAGGGTCTTCAGGCTCGGCCCTTCCAGAGTTTAGGGTTTGGGGTTTAGGGTTTAGTTTAGGGTTTAGGGCTTAGGGGGGGCTTGGCTATTCGAGATTACGTCTCAGGACTTCTAGGGTTTAGGGTCTAGGGTTTGGGGTCAGATTCTAGGGTTTAGAGCTTCTATGACAGATGTTTAGCGCTTGTCATGTCGGTGTAATGCGTTTGGGTATGTAGTAACAGCTCAAGTCTTTAGGTCTATAGAACTTAGCGCCTAGGGCTTACCTCTAAAACCTTAAACCTAAACCCTGAACCCCGAACACTAAACCCAAAACTGGAAGGTTAGACTCACTTCTCCAATAACCAAGGGGAAAAGGTTAAACTTTAATCTTCCTACTAGATAAGGAAACCAAAAAAGTTTAAAGTTCAACTAAAGGTGAAGTAAGTAGATGATCTGTCCGAACAGCGTCGGGCCTAGCGGCTTGGGCTTTGGGATAGGATACGGACACAAGGTACTGCCCTAAACCCTAAGAATCACCTCCTAAGCCCTCAATCGCTTAGCCCGAGACCCTCAACCCTGACAACAAGAAAAGCCGCTTGCTCTGTGGCACGGTAAACTCCAGGTTAGGCTCCATGTAGCCATATTTCCAAAGGGGGAAGGGCAGGGGACTTCCTGAAGGAAGGTGGCTCGGTGAGGTTCCCTATAGCTACCTCTTCCCCCCTCTAAGATGTTTAGGTTTTCGACTTGAGGGTTTAGGGTTTGCCTAAACCTTGTAGATGCTTAGTAGGAACTTGCTTTCAGTAGGACAAGATAAGAGAGTAGCATTCTTCAATACCTTGGGGCTGTCCTCAAAAAAAATACCCGGCACCTGAATAAACCCAACACCATAGACCGCGCCAGGGGAACCGGCAGCAACTTTAGTTTATTTGACATACCCTAAGGCCTAAACCCTAAGCCCTCTAAAAGGGGCAAGGGTGGGGCGTGACTGGGAGAGGATCTAGGGTTTAGGGTTTCGGGTGCAGGGCTTAGGCCTTGTTAGGTGTATGGTTTCGAGGTTTAGGGCTTGGGTTTGCAAATGGAGGCGCTGAACCCAAAAGCCCTATAGACCACACAACTTCAGCAAACTACAAGCAAGCACTGCAGTCAATGCAGGGCCGAGTCCGGTTCCGAGAATGCCAAAGCCCAGCTGATACATATATGTGGGTGGTTATCAAAATTATGATCCCTTTTGGGGGTACCCTAAATACTAGGTGCCTTATTATAATCGGGATCCAAAAAGGGACTATGATTTTGACATGCACCCATGTGCCTTTTCAGGCGTGACTTGAAACCATCACTTCTTGGGCTTCTTCGCTGGAGGCTCTAGAGGGTCGGCTTTCGTCTTCGTGCTGCGCAAGTGGTCGCCACTGGCCACAGGCTTGCTGTTCTTCAGCAATGGCATCCTCACATTGCTTTTCGCACTCCCAGACATGGAGAGACCCTAAACCCTAAACCCTAAACCCTAAACCCTAAACCCTAAAGGCACATGTTGGTCAAATCCTGCTCCTCGTGTCCACCGATGTAGGCAGCAGGACCTTCTTCACTTGGATCAACGAGCCTAGAGGCGTGTTGATCCTTTCCCTTCTCTGGAGACACCCTAAACCCTAAACCCTAAACCCTAAAACCCTGGGTTCGCTACACCTGAGCGACTAGCAGGAGCAGCATGAGCTGCCATCGAACGAGCATACCTGGGGCTCTTTCTACCTACAGTTTAGTCGTTCATATCCCAGTTTGGTAGAACCCACAAGACTGTAGGTAAAGAGAGTCAGGGAGGGGGGCATCTCTCAGCGCGACGGCTCAACTGCGTCAAGTCGCGGAACCCTTCTCTCCTCTGATTCTTCTTCTTTTGAACCCTCTAAGTCCTTCTAGAGCCCTAAATCTAGACCCTTTTGCAAGCACAAACCTCGAACCCTGCACCCCCAAAACCTCACCTCCATCTTCACCAGCGGGGCGAAAACGTGCTGGTACTGGTAGGCGTCCTGCATAGCTCTATCATTCTGCAGACACAGTTACATTCAAGCCCTAAACCCTGAACCCTAGCAAAACTTAGGCTAGAAGTCCCTGAAGTTAGTACGGTAGATGTATGCAAACCGCCCAGGTCTCCAAATGCCAATTCGGGAAGGCCTTCTACAATAAGAGCTAAAAACCTACTAGTTCACATCCCAGGTGGCATCTTCTCATGTTGCATACGATGTGCACATATGGCGGTCTCCGAAATCAGGGGTACCTTCTTGGGGTCCTTACTTTCAGGGAATCTTACTCTTTGGGGGTTTATCCCTTTTTTGTATACCCCCATATACGTATACGTGTTCATAATCGTTCCAAGTCGAACTGATAACGGCTTTCACGTGATGACCACCGCGGGTAGTAACCTGCTCCGTGGTCAGCCCTAAACTCCTAAACCGGTAGACCTTACATAAACCCATGAATCCTTAAGTCCTTGCACCCCTGCAGCATTACAAGCCCTTGAACCCTCAAACTCAAAGCCTCTACTCAAAACTCCGAATGCTTCTAAACCCCTAAACCCATATATACCCTAAACCCTAAACCCTAAACCCTAAACCCTAAATTAAACCCTAAACCCTAAACCCTAAACCCTAAACCCCCAGTCCTCGTACCGGAGCATCACTGGCTGCGGATCGTCCTCGGATCCCGGACCCGCCTGCAAGGACAAGCCGGCGCGCGCTTCGCGGGGCTTCGGGTGCTTGTGAGGGTTTAGGGTTATAGGGTTTAGCGTTTAGGCTGAGGGCTCAGGGCTCAGGGCTCAGGGCTCAGGGCTTCGGGTTTGGGGTTTGGGGTTTGGGGTTTAGGCTGGGTTTTGGAGGGGAATAGTCCCTGAAAAGGGGAATCCTTACTGACCTTGCATCCGGGGACAGGAATTTTGAAACACCAGAAAGGACACACCCTAAACAACACCCTACTTCGGCATGTATGCGCCCTTCGGTTTAGGATTTAGGGTCGTTTCTTGTTTAGGTCCCAATAGAATTAGGCCCTCAACCCTAAACCCTAAAAACCGACCGCTCCAAGCACCTAAGATGGCGGCGCTTCGCCGTGTTCCATTGAAATCAGCTTGCTGTCGTTGTTCTTCCCTCCAGACGCATGTCACCGCGCAAAACCGACATGCCGATTTCCTCGGTATTTACAGTGTTTCCTTAAGGTCACATGCCGAAACCCTCGCTGCCGTCGGTGTTTTCGGCTCCTCCACTTTTCGCCTTTTGGGACAGGCCCACAACATCGGTCTTTACAGTGTTTCGCGCGTGTTGCACGCCGGAAACATCGGTATTTGCGGTCCTTTCCTCGTGTTACACGCCGAACACCTCCGTGGCCAGAGCATCCATGCCCGCACGATGATTACGTCCGTGTTACCAGTGCGTGCGATTGGCCAGAGCATCCATGCCCGCACGATGATTACGTCCGTGTTACCAGTGCGTGCGATTGGCCAGAGCATCCATGCCCGCACGATGATTACGTCCGTGTTACCAGTGCGTGCGATTGGCCAGAGCATCCATGCCCGCACGATGATTACGTCCGTGTTACCAGTGCGTGCGATTGGCCAGAGCATCCATGCCCGCACGATGATTACGTCCGTGTTACCAGTGCGTGCGATTGGCCAGCACGCCCGCACGATGATTACGTCCGTGTTACCAGTGCGTGCGATTGGCCAGAGCATTCATGCCCGCACGATGATTACGTCCGTGTTACCAGTGCGTGCGATTGGCCAGAGCATCCATGCCCGCACGATGATTACGTCCGTGTTACCAGTGCGTGCGATTGGCCAGAGCATCCATGCCCGCACGATGATTACGTCCGTGTTACCAGTGCGTGCGCATGCAGAGCATCCATGCCCGCACGATGATTACGTCCGTGTTACCAGTGCGTGCGATTGGCCAGAGCATCCATGCCCGCACGATGATTACGTCCGTGTTACCAGTGCGTGCGATTGGCCAGAGCATCCATGCCCGCACGATGATAACTTCCGTGTTATCACTCGCTATTTGCGCTTGGCTGCCAGCCCCGGATCAGGGTTAAGTTAGTTGTCCCCTTTTGATTTGTCACCGTGTTGCGCATCTCTGGCATCGATGCACCGCTGCCGCTGCCTGCAGTAGGGGATTAGAGTTGAGACGCATCAACGCATTAGGCCGCATGTCACCTCGCCTGGCACACGTGCACATCCTGGCAACACGCCACCTGATGCATGCGCCGGGCCTCAAGGCTGTGCTTGAAGCACTGCGCACATACCGTTTGGATCGCTCCGGGCAGGTCGGAGCCGATCCAAAGCACTTCGGACAGTACGAGCACGACCACGCTTGGCTCTTCTGAAAAAAAAAAAAACGTGAGACGTCTGCCGAATTTAGAGAAAAATTGTATGTTTTTACGCGCGTGTGATGCTTGCTTCAACTATCGATTGTATCGGTATTTACAATGCTTTCCTCTCTTCTCCAAACGTGCGCGCGCGGCCACATACGCCTGCAGCGTGGTACTTCGGTGAGGGTTTAGGGTCTAGGGTTTAGGGTCATGCGGAGTGACTCCCCGTTTCGACGGACTGTTTGGAGCGGCTTCGTAAACCACACATTCCTAAACCCTAAACCCTAGACCCGAAACCCTAAAAACAGGCTCGTGGGACTCCTCTATACAATGCAGCTGCGATGGCCTGGAGTGACCCAGCCACACAACGCTGGTTCGGGTTTAGGGTTTAGGGTTTAGGGTTTAGGGTTTAGGGTTTAGGGTTTAGGGTTTAGGGTTTAGGGTTTAGGGTTTAGGGTTTAGGGTTTAGGGTTTAGGGTTTAGGGTTTAGGGTTTAGGGTTTAGGGTCTAGAGTTTAGGGCTTAGGCTTCAGTCCCAGCAGGTCTTCTGTGACCAGCTACGAAATTTTGCCTCTGAGCCCCCAAACCCAAACCACTAAACTCTAAACCCCTTCCCCTCAAAAAACAAAGCCCTAAACCCTAAAGCCTGAACCCTAAACCCAACTGTAAACCCAAACCCTAAACTCCCTAAACCCGACACCCCTCCCCTCAAATAACAAAGTAAAACGAAACAGGCCTTTCCCTCCAGGTCTTCTAGCGTCGCCTCGGGGTTCCTCGGCTTTTGTATAGGCTTCATCAGGGGGTCTAGGTGACCCACTCGTCTCCCAGGTTTAGGGTTTTGGTGGACCCCACCCCCCTCCCCCCTGAAGAACCCCATAACCCAAAACCCCGTAACCCAAACCCCCCCTCCTTCCCGAAGAACCCAGGAAACACAAACCCTAGACTCTAGGAAGTCAGCACTAAATCCACCGCGACAACTCTTGTGCAAACCCTGATCACTTACAACAGCCTCCCGAGCACCTAAACCCTAATCAAACCCTAAACCCTAACCCTCCTAATCCCTAAACCCTGAACCCTAAACCTCCTAAACCCTTCTCAAAGAGTACCCAAGGTTCGTCTTCCACATCTCTTCGAGCTTGTTCACCTGGTCGGGCCAGGGAACCCCTCGAGATTGATCGGCGGTTTGGGGTTTAGCTTTAGGGTTTAAGGTTTAGGGTTTAGGGTCTTAAGGTTTAGGGTTTAGGGTTCGGGAGTAATTAGGGTTTCAGGGGCTTAGGGCTAACCGGCTTAGATTCAGGGTTCAAGGGTCAGGCGTTTTGTGTGCTTCGGGGCTTGGATTTCAGGATGTTCGAGGCCCTCATCGCAGAGAGCCCCGCCGCCCCACACCACCTCTAAACCGTAAGCCAAGCTGTTGGGTGTGTACGCTTTGACGGGAGGCTCGGGGTTGGGCAAGCAGGAGCGCAAAGGACAACAGACAGATTGCCACACACGCTCCAGACAACACAAAGTCCAGAAATGCATGATCGCGAAATTGTTCAGGTACTCCTACGGGAAGAACCTGGGCAACAAAGATGATACTCCGGTTAGTTTGGGTCTGCAAGCTTCTAGATTGTTTGGGGGCTCCCTCTGGTCGTTCCCACTATGAGACAAAGCCCGATACACTTTGGGAGAGTCTCTAGAAGGTGTAGGATTAAAGCAGTGAGGTTCATTGGGTTGAGGGAACTTCGGGTAGGCAGAAATGGGCGTGAGACCCCTGCACTGGGAAACGGAGTTTGAGCCCGTCTGCCTGCGCAGCGGTGATGTTCCAGGAGCGCATCTGCTCCTGACCCCGAACCACCATGAGCTTCTGCACCCTAACCTTTACACCCTAAACCCGCAACCTTAGGGTTCTGAATCTGGGAACCCTTAGTAACCTTGGATTTACAAACACCTGCACCTTGAACCCTGAATAAACCTTTCCCTTCTTCGCATTGGGGAGTTTTCATAAGCGGTACCTCGGAACTCCCCCAACAAGGGGGGGGGGGGCAGGGTTGCCCGAGCGAGGGCTACTGATGGGGTTCCTAAGAGCTAAGGGTTTAGGGCTCATGGGTGAATTGTATTGGGTTTCGGGTTTCGGGCTTAGGGCGGTAAGACATTAAGAAGCACAACATCCCGCATGATCCAGCGCCTCAGATGTTTTGTCAAGACTTAACGGCTGCAACCATTACTTGGTTAAACCCTACTACCCTAAAAAATAAGGCAAGAATTGCAAGATGCGTCATTGCAAGCACACTCAGAACATAAATTAGGTGGCTTGTTGCATAAAAAGGAGGACAATAAACGGGCACTCTGACCTGGGTTGAGTCGATTTCAACATCGAGGGGTTGGGCTTCAGTCTGTCTGACAGCCGTCTCACAGAGTAGCACATTTCTACCCGAACATGTGAACCGACTTGTGTCCAGGTTCGCGAATTACATGATGAACGAAGCTACCGCTTTTCGGGAGTTGATTTCTGGGCGCTGGCTTGCGACTGCAAAAAAGCCATGCTACCCAATAAGCTCTGGACCCTGAACTTGCTCCAAACGCGAGTGCTGAAACCAATGTTGTATATCTCCTGAACACTACAGAAGCTACCACACAGCCATTGCGAAACCGCAAGGCCTGCACGCTGTGCCCTATTCCGACCCTCAACAGTG